CCTTTCTTCCCCATTTCAACACTTCTCTTTCCTTCCCTTTTTTACCTTCTCCACCTCCCTTTCCTTCACTTTCTTTCCATTTTCTATAACCCTTTCTTCTCTTTCTCCCTCTTTCCTCTCTCGATCTGTCCTTTCTCCCCATTTCCTCCTCTTCTGCATTCCCTTCTTTGTCTGCCCTTTCCCTCCTACGTGCCCCCTCCCCCGCCCCAGAGGAGCTGCTTCACGGCCAAGATGGAGCCGCCCGTGCCTCGCTGGCGGTCGCTCATCCTCCCTTACCAGACGGAGACGTGGCTGGCCTTCCTGGGGGCGCTGGCCGTCTGCGGCTGCGTCCTCTACCTCCTCTTCCTCTTGACTCGGTTCAGGTGAGGCAAGGAAGGGGACTAGGGTTGCGTTGGCTTGTTTGCCTCCGTCTGCTTCTGTCTTCGCTCACCCTCTCTGTTAGAATAAGGTAGGGAAATAAAGGGACCAAAGGACATAAAGGGTCTCCCCCCACACTCACACACAGCGGAGGCAGCGAAGAGCACCGAAGCCTCCTGACGGCTGCTTCCTCGTTCCTGTACGCCGCGGGGATGCACTTCCGGCAGCCGCAGCACCGCGTCCCCGCGAGGGACAGCACGCGCTCCTTCTTCCTCCTTCTATGGTTCTACGCCATCGTCCTCACCACCAGCTACAGCTCCAACCTGACGGCGTTCCTGACGAAGTCGAGGCAACCGAAGGGCATGGAGACCATCAGGGAGCTGCGGGAGGCCAACCTGCCCATCCTCTGCGTCAACTCGTTCTTTAAAGGGTCCATGGTCCTGTCGGAGAACAAGGACATCCAGGTTGGGAGCTCACTCTGTTTCATCTCACCGCTCTTTTCCTTCTTTCCTTTTCCATGTCATTTTTAACCATTCATTTCATCGCCTCGATGACATCGAGTGACCAAGAATAAGGATAGTTAGGTTGCAATATTCCTTACTTTCATATTTCTTTTTCCCTCCCCTCATCAACCCACGATCCCCAGGCGCTAGCAGACCGCTACCGAGTCGTCCCGGGGTTTGAGCAGGTGTACAAGCTGGTCCTGGCGGGCGAGGGCGTCAACATCGAGAGCCGCAGCTACCTCGAATACGTCGTGTCTACTCAGTTCATGTCCCCGCAGGGCCACCCCAGGATGAGGATCATGAAGGTTTCGGGTCTTTGGGGGCTTTGTATTCGGCTACTTTATGCAGTATCTTGCTGCTATAATTAATGTTGTGTATTTAGAGACTTCGTAAACACTTCTGCTTCTTTTCCCTTTTGTTTCTTCCTTCTTCTTCCACGCCCTCCTCCTCCTCCTCCTCTTCCAGGAATGCATCTCCGTCAGCCACATCGCGATGGGATTCCAGATTTATTCTCCTCTGAAAGCGAAATTCAGCAAGGTCATCATGTGGATGGTTGAGGGCGGCCTCGTCACCAACTGGTTCTTCGAGGCTATCGAGCGCGCTAAGAAGGTTTTGTGTGTTTTTAGATTTAGGATTTAGTCTTAAAGGCTGTGTGCTTGATAAGGATTGTTGGTTTGTCATCTATTGCATGAGTGATCTCATTCTCGAAAACGCACTCGCCAAAAATTGTTTTTAATTCATATACTTACGGTTTTAAATCCGTTTAAAAGATTTTGTGATACGTAATGTTGTAGTGTTTATTATTAATTCCGTGATTGTCTTTAATACTGAACTGAATGCTCCATGGACGTTTAGAAATTATTGCAAAACATAATTTACGAAACTTGTTCCTAATTGCCTTTTTAGACATAATGATCCCATATTCTTTTTTTACAGATACAAGAAGCGGAAAACTCCCGAATGAAAGGGAACGGCAGCCCAGTCGAAGAGGAAATAGAAACCGGGAGCAGTGACGCCATCGCCCTCAGCATTGACCACATGCAAAGTATTTTCTATTTACTCATCTTGGGGTATCTGGCATCCTCATTTGTTTTCTTGATAGAGGTTATCAGAAGGTGATTTTTTTCTTTATTTCTACCCTGGTGCCCTAGATTGATGGATTTATCGATGGATTAATGACGTGAGTTTGGATTTTGGATATATCTATCTATTTATCAATTTCTTTCAAATGATTGCACTTCACTTGAAGTTTGTAGCTGTTCATCCGGTTTGCTGAATTATAGATTTACTGAAATCTATCAGTGTAACTTCATTCGCAAATAAACACTGCATGACATGGCTCTTTAATTATTAAAACCTATTGAAATATTCTTCTTAAAAGCACACACGTGCACAATTGCACATGCGCGTATGTGTGAATGATATGCAGTATCGTATATCTACAAATGTTAATAGATGTTCTCTCTCTGATATATATATATATAATATAATTATATATATTATATATATATATATATATATATATTATATATATATATATAGGAGGGTTCATCAAAATAAAAACACAACGCTCTTTCGCGTACGCGCACAACACTGGTGGGCAAAAACAACAATGGCCACTAAATCAGCTGTGAGGACGATGTCAACCTACTACAAATCTCTCGATTTAGTTGCTTTAGATTTAGTCATGATGAAAAACTTAAGTATTCTAAAGGTACAGAAAGCTTACCAGATCCTTTTCTCTCTCTGATGGCCGGTCTGAAAGCCCCAATCGTTGGCCCATGTTATTTTTGGTGATATTTCTATCTCTACCTTGTACACACGCCGGGTAGTTACACAGAAGAAGAATTGAAAGCCTACAAGTCATTCGAAGCTTTCAAATATTTTTCTTAAGTTTTAAATCAGAACAGGATGATGAAATTTGGCATTCAACATCAGAAAAAAATCGGAATACAGCTATCTGTATTTGCTGGTCCATACTAATTGTTTGGTTGACCGACCTTTATACAAACACCTGGTGGTTA